TAAATAAGCTTAAAACAATAACGAACGAAAAATACTAGTATTATTCTGAAAAAAGCGTGGGCGCTTTGTGCCATATTTTTTGTATATCAAGCGTCCGTCGCTTTTTTCACAATACTAAAGTCTATCCAAATCCAAGATATAGTAAAAGAAAACAAAACCGAAGCGTGATGTTCACGTGATCGCCCAGTGTCAGATGGAAAGGGCAGCGTTCATTGTCTTCTTGGTACGAGTTCGGTACCAGCACAGGGTTGTAATCAGTCGTTTGCATGTTTGTGTGGCGTGCGTTACAGTATATTGTTTAAATTTGTTTTCCAAGATGCCCAGTACAGACACTGCTGATGACACTGTGAGCTATCCTCTGAGTCCAGCCAGGAAACGATACAAAAAAAGACATTTGAGTGTTGAGATGAAAGAAGTGATTGAAAATGCATTCAAGAAAGACATGGAAAAAATTGAGACATCGACTGTCGACGAAGTCGTATCGAAAGTTTCCGATAAAATTGGAGTGTGTTGCGCTTCGATTTACAATGTTTTACGGGAATATAAACAAAATCATACATTTTCCAAACCGAATACAAATCAGAATCGTTAAACCACTATAAAATCAATAGATGATGCTGATAAACATGCAGTCAGGAGGAAAGTAGGGAAGACTGGAGCAAGATGAGATAGCTTAGACAAAACTCGTTATATAAGGAAAATTAAACTCTTTAATAAGATTCTTTAACAAAAGAGGTAACCATTATACATTTCTTTCTTATAATTAAACATTGTAGCATGCAAAATCACAGAACTTTTTTTGGCAAATAATGAAAAAATTTCCCGTTTTGCCCCATAACTGGGGTAAGATGGGAAACGCTGTGGGGCGAAACGAGTACGCTTTTTAATCGGGTAGACAGCGTTCACAAATGTGTGCCTGTTCATCTTCCTCATCTACTCCGACACATGAATTATGCGCCCAACCGTGGCACACGCCGCAGATGACCCAGCCTTCGGTTGAATCTGAGTGTAAGTACCCACAATAGATGCAAGCACAGTCATCATCCTATTCTTGGGATGAACTATCTTCCGATTCAGTTTCTTTTTTGCACCTTTTGGTTTGACGCTTTTTCTGCAGGTTTTCTTTTGTCAGTTGTCTTTTTAATCTTCTTTGCAGTCTTTCTTCCAGGTTTCTTCATTTGTTTTTTACCTTTTTCGCAGTCACTTGATTATCAGTACAAGGGCAGGGCAAAACGGGATAGTATCCCATTATGGCCCGATCATCTTGCCCCGATCCACACGTAGGTAAAAAAGATGACGCAATTCTAACCTCAAACTTTACCGGCGAAAAAATTTGTTTTGAATTTAATAATTTGGACTACTATAATAAGCTCGGGATTGAAATAATACATTAACACAGGTACTTACATGTCTGTACATCAGTTTTCGAATCAAATATCGCGTAAAAACACTTGCAATATCACTTTTTTCTCTCTGCAACGCAAAAACGAGTTCTAACCTGTTCGCTCTGCTTGGACACACTAGCGGAGAGTGAAATTCGTGCAAATGGCGCTGTCGCCGCTCCGAACACGATTACTATTCACGCACACAAGCTTACTGCCCGTGCTGCCCCGAACTTCATCTTGCTTNTACGACTATATGTACGAACAGCTTCAAACACTGCTCAGAATCATCCATTTGTTGTTGTTTTTGGTCAATTATGAGCTCGTGCGACATTCACTTTGAACAGAGCTTTCGCAAACCCAAATATTAATGCACGATATGTCCAACACGTTACTTTGATATCTTTAGAGCGCCAGCTATCTCGATCAGTTTCTTTTTGCGGTCATTCAAAATTACTTTGTGGACTTTCACGATATTTTCATCGGTAATAGCCTCTTTGAAGCGTCCACTGCGTGCATCGTCTTCGGTGGTAATTTAACCTCGTTTAAACAAACCAAAACACCTCTCAACGGTTGATTTTCCTGGTGCAAAGTCCGAATAATGTTTATCAAGCCAAGTCTTGGACCAAGCCTTGGATTCAACAATATTCATTTTTGCTATAGAGCAATGCTCTATTAACACAAGACAAGCCTGTCTCTGTAAGCCAGAGGACCCAGGTGAAGCTCTCTGGCTTACAGAGACAGGCTTGTCTGGTCATCAGTGGTGCCATCAGTACCACACCGTCAGCGGCCATGGATATCTTTCTAAATCTACCTCCTCTCCATATTTTTCTGGAGAGGCTAGATGGACTGCATATAGACTTGTGCTCATTTCCAATTGCACAAATCAATTTAATGCATAGTGCAACAGACTGTTGGTTGATACTGGAAGTTACCGGGAGAACAAAATATTAAGAGCAGATAGTTGTTGGTTCACAAACACATGCACAGAACCTTCCGGTTCTGGTGCAGGTGTTTTCAGTCGCAGATCCAGGACAGATATATCAACCTGCTTAGGAACCTATGCGACTGTATTTCAAACATTCTATTAAATTGTATGCGGAAGAATCCAAATTGGAAGAATCTCGGACAGTCAAGCGGCTTTGGAAGCTCTTGGCTCCTACCGAGCAACGTCTAAATTGGTAGCAAACTGCCAAAAACAACTCTCCTCGATATGAAGACTTGTCTCTGGTCTGGATTCCTGGTCATACTGACCTGGAAGGCAATGAGGCTGCTGACTCCCTTGCAAAGGAAGGTGCTGCAAGCAGCTACATCGAACCAGAACCTGTCATTGGCATCACTTCCCGATAATAAAATTCAACAGACCAGTTCAATTAGATACTTTTTCACGTTATCGAGGAATTTTTTAAAAGACTATTCACCCAAAACAACGTGTAACCAAAATCTCTTCACGCATATCATCTCCTACAGAATGTTCTGAAATAATGATAAACGCATTACATGTAATGAAATTATATTTAAAAAAATACATATATTTATTTCTCAACATAATCTCTTTGTAGCCCTCTACACTTTTCTAAGCGACGTTCAATAAGTTCGAGACCGTTTTCATAATTAGAACATTCTCATTCCTCAAAATAGTAATCAACTGGCGATATCGCTTTTTCATCGTTGAGAAATTTTTGACCACTGATCCATTTTTTGAAGTTTGGGAATGGAAAATCATCTGAGAGGGCTGAATCTGGTGAATAAGGTGCATGAGGTGACAATTCAAAGTTTACTTCGTTAACTATGGTCATGGCGACAATGGATTTGTGAGCTGGTACATTGTCTTGATGAAACAACACTTTTTTCTCAGACAACTGCGGCCGTTCCTGCACTCAAATATTGCAATAATTTCTCATAATTCTCGCCGTTGATAGAACTACTTTTTTTAAGATCGCCAATGAAAATTATCCACGCTTATCCCAGAAAACAGATGCCAGGACCTTGCCTGCAGATGAAACGGTTTTTGCCTTCTTTGGAGACGTAGGAGTATCTTCAATTCAGCGAGACATTGATGATTGCTAAATAAATACTGAACTAAACATCAGCGTCTTCAAATTCGGAACATATGCTTTATAAATTGTATACTTTTTAAAACAGTGATATTTATTGAACAACTACTGCCATCTCTAGGCCAGGCCGGGTACCTCTGGAACCAACCTCGTAGTAACGTATAGTAACTATAGTAGACTCGGCCCCGATTGAGCCAGACAGACAGCCGGAGCGAGACAGACAGCCAGACATCCAACCGTGGTGTACCAGTGACGAACAGTGACGTCACCAGCCAGGCATACAACTGAATTGTCACGCGAGACAGGGTCAAATTGGTCTATATCAGGTTTTTGAATAGATCAGGTTTTTGAATAGGTTGAACGGACACTTGATCTGCTTCTATCAGGTCTGCTGAACTGGTTCTGATCCGGTTTGAACCGGTTATGAACAGGTTTTATCAGGTTTGAACTGGTTTACAACAGGTCTGAACTGGTATTAATCTGATAATGTGGTTTGTTTCCATTTTTATTCTTGAATGTGTATGAAGTGATCGAGTCCTTTGCGGTAACGACCCCTATTGAGACAACAATCTTTAAAAATAGTAATAAATCCATAAGGTTCTCTCCAACATAAAGAACAAATCACCTTGAAGGTATCAAAGNAATATTTAGAAATCCTTTCTTATTGCACATTTACAACATAAAACTAACCTACATACAACATTTGAAACTCCGAAAATATAGCGATACGGAGAAACGGTGATGAAAAGGTAATTTTCATATGTAATCGCGCCCCTCTTATCCCCAGGGGGCTTTCCAGTTGAAATATTTAGAAATCCTTTCTTATTGCACATTTACAAC